GAAACCGGCAGAGACGGGAAAGAAAACTTCCCTGGCAGGGAGCAAAGTGCTGCCTCAGCGCTTGCAGCGAGCGCTGCAAATTATCTCCGATATGCAAAAGCAGGTCATTAGCATAAATTACAGCGCCGTGATGGAGCGTGGCTTCGGCAGGAGCCCGACGTGCTGATGGATGCAGCAGCCCCCCCAGGCTCCGTGCTGTCGCCTTCAGACATTTCCACTTGTCAGGAGAGGAGGGAGCCGGCGTTTCGGGCTGCAAGGGGGCTGAGGCGCAGCTCCTGCTTTAGCCCCCACTCCCAGGCAGCAGCCACAGTCATGTCAGGGCACCTATACCATATCATGACCAGTATTTCCCTTCTAATCACTCACCCTGAAGTTAGGAGGTGGCCAGGCTTTCTTCGGCGTTATAGAGAACTTGCCAGCTGACCGCCACGTGTGGAGGGGGGTGCCCTTACGGCGCGAGCGCTATTCGGCTCACTCTTGCACGTCGTGAAAAGCAGAGGATGGGGCTCAGGATGGCGCAAACCAGCCCAGCTCTGGCAGCAGCACCCGCGCGCTGCGCATGAGCGCCCATCCGTGCCAGCCCGGCCCCCTAAATTCCCTCATTGTAGCAGCCAGACACCCCCTCCCCTCCCCGTGCCAGCCTCCCAGCGCAGCTCCCGGTTAACGATCCCAATTAATGCTCATTTCACAGGGAGCAGCCACAAAGCGATTTTGATCCGGGGACTCGGGCGGGAGGGGAAGGTTGCGGAGCCACCGTCGCTCCCCACGCTGCCATCAAAGTGCCACGTTTCATTTCAATCCCAAAGAAAAGCTCTTGATCTTGCCTTTGGGAAGATCTTTGAAGCCGGAACCTCTCTTTCTCCACCTCCTTCTCCCAGGGCCGCTGGTTCTGTAGGAGCACGGGATGACTTCGGTGGGAAGGGACCCGGCAGTGTCTCCGGTCTCAGCCCACCACAGGCCACCCAGGGCTGTGCCGAGCTGGTGCAGGCAGCACCCGTCTTGCTTGGGGCCCATGCCCAGGGCCACCTCTCCCCTACTCGACACACGCAGCTGAACCTCTGCAAAGTGCATCTCTGTGTGAGACCCCATTTATTTCAGAGGCTGCCGAGACACCAACAAGGCAATCCCCACTCCCTCCCCGTACCTGAGGTACATTTCAGGCTATAAATAGCCAATTAAGCTAATTAAACAGTCACCACAATTGCCTCACGCAGTTCAACTTCTATTCGCACCTCAAAGTAAGTTCCCGAGGTGTGTCAAACCTGTCAAGACCTAAAAAAACCCACGAGATCTCACGCTGGCACTACACACACGCACATCACACATATCCTCTTCCCCTCACGATCCCTCCTGTCCAATTTCACATCCATCTCCTCCCAAGACAGGTTTCCATCACTGAGTTTTTCCTCCTTCCTTCACTGAAAAGCCTCCAAGGCGCAGCCTGGGGTTTACATCCTTGCAAAAACCCATCTCTGACCATTCCCATCCCGAGCGAGCCCCTGGCTTTGCCAGGTGGTTTCCCAGCGGGTGCCAGAGGTCTCCAAGTGCTCCAGGAGAAGAAGCCCGTAGGGAAGAGAAGGTCTTGCTGAGGCAGCCGGGGCACTAGGAGAAGTGATGGCTGGCAGGAGCTGGGGGCGAGGTCTGCGCCATGGGGCACCAGTGTCTAGAACCTCCCGTATCCTGCAAGTCCATGTGTGGGGTTTAGCACACTGATGAGCTCTGGAGATACTCGGGGCTCATCTCCCCACTGGTCTGGCATCCGTTACCTCTGCGTAGGCAGTGAAAACCAAAGCTGGGTCCAGCCTCTTCCTCTTGAGAGAGGGAGACTGTGGAGCAGAGCAAGAACCTGCCGTTAGGCAACACGCAAGTGGGATGGTGAACCCAGCACCAGGTTGATGATAAACCGAGGGGACCCGAGCTTCTGTGCCGCTGCAGGGGAGCCGGAGTCACGGCGGGGCAACCTCACCTTCCCCCTGGGCTGAACGGTGGAGTAGATGGTGCAGGTTGCGGGCTCCTGAGGGCAGCTGGGTGTCTGCCGGGGAAAAACAGTCGAGACGCGCAAAGTAAAACAAATTTTGGGCAAAAGGGGTGGTCTTGGCAGCTCCAGCCTGGGGGCTGCACAGCCGAGCCCACGGGGCAGCTCCAGTCTGGCTGGGACTAACCCTACCTGCTTTTTAGGGCAGATGACGGCATAGACTGTGTTTCCTGTCACGGTGGCCTCGCCGGTCCCATTCTGGGGGAGCAAGCAGCACCAGGCTGGTTAAAGGGTGCAACCCGGGGTGACAGACATTTCCAAACAGAGGTCCCGTCCCTCCAGGCAGCATGGGGAGGGGATGCACCCCTGGCACTCACGGGCTCTCGGCCAGTTCGGGCTTTGCCCACCTCCTCGTAGACAGTCAGCCCCCAGACTGGCAGGGCTCAGCCCGCAAGCAAAGCAAAGCAGAGGGAGAAAGAGGTCCCTTGGCAACTGGGAGGTTTTACATCACTGGCAGGGGCTGAGGAGGGGTGCTCCAGCTCAGAATAAAATGAATATTCAAACCCAAAGAGTCTTCTCGACCCCATGGGAGGAGGCCTCCAGGTCTGGGCATTGATGCTTGGGCTGCTGGGATGCTTCATCCAGCTCATCAACGTGCGCCAGCAGGGATGGGCAAAGACCTCATGCCCCGGGCAGTGCCCAGCAGGGGGTGACGGTGCCAGTGGCTTATCCCACATCAGCCCCTGGAGGAGGGAGAACTCCAGGGCCAGCACGGGGAGCATTAGGAGCGTCAGAGCAATCAGGAGGGCAGGGGCTGCACAGCTGAAACCCCACGGCTGCCCATCCCACGAGCTACAACGCTGACCCCAGGGACAAACCTCCCGGGGGCTCCTTTCCTCGTGTCTTCCGCCAGTACCAGGCAATAACGATGGCTACGGAGATGGCCAGTGCGAGCCCCAGGAACATGGCCACTGCCCACCATGGAACCAGGCTAGAAAGCCCTGGGGAGGAAGGAAAGGAGAAAGGGAGACCTTCAACGCAGGGCAGAGCCTCATGCCATTTCTAAAGACAGAAACCTCAGCCCCGGTTACGCCACCCGTGGGCAGCGCCGGTGCTCCCTTTCCCAGGAGGGGAAGCCGGGCACGTTTTGGCGTCAGCGTGACATCCTCCGCGGTTTCACTGACCCAGTCAGGGAGATGAAGGGCCCCGAGAGAGGGCTGGAAGCAACGTGGCTTGTGCACCCGCTAAGTTACCCGCAGAGCGGAGGGTAAATTACCCGGGGCTGCAGCGCGGCACGCTGCCGCAGCGTCGGTGCTGGCCGTGCTCCAGCTCACCGGGTTGCTCGCGTTGCAGCAGCAGACGGTGCTGTTGGTGTCCCCGAGGACCTGCAGGTGTAGCCAGGGCTGGTGTCCCACGGCTTTCCCAGTGCAGGACCAGCTGTAGGAGACATTGGTGGCGCCGGGCACGGTGCAGACCAGCGAGAGGTTGCACCGGTCCTGCTCCCAGTGCAGGATGTCTGTCTGCAGCTGCGGCGGGCGGACGGGCTCTGCAGGGACAGAGCTGGTGAGAGAAGACGGGGGGGGGACAGGGTGACGGGGTGATGGGGACCCGGCTACTCACCCCACACCGACACACGGAAGCACACGGCAGTAATAGCACCTGATCCGTCCTGAAACTCTACACTGTAGACCCCGCTGTCTGCCGGGCTGACCGGGCTGATCCGCAGGGAGACGGGGTCCTCCTGGAAATCAGTTCTCCAAGAGAAAGGACCCTTGCGGTACTCGGCAGCTGCATCCTTCTGAGCCGTCAGGATCCGCCACTGCTGTCCTGTGTCCAGTCTCACTGTCCATCCAACCTCCGTCCACAGCTGTGGGGGTTTCTCCGACTGCAGCTGCAGCGCTCCGTCGGCAGACACAGCTTGTTCCCGGCACTCCGGGAGCCCTAAAGCACGGAGGGGTGAGCAAGAAGCTCCATGGCTGGGGATGGGGCACAGCCTCTGGAGCCCGGACCCACAGCCCCCAGCACGGCCCCTCCTGCTCCCCAAGGGCAAGCCCAGCCTGGATCCCCATCCCCATCCCGGGCTTGTCCTTCTCCCTGCGCCATCCCAGGCTGGTTGTGTGTCCGTCTGCACCCGCTGCTCTGGCCGCACGTTGCAGATGCTCGTGCAATATCCTCTGCCCTGCCCAGAGCAGGGATGGTTGCAGACCCTCTGATCGCAGCACCTGGGGGCTCATTTGTGCCCCAGTTCCTTCCTCACCCACCCCACCTGGGGAACGGCAGGAGTGTTGCCCACTGGACCCTTTATTCTTGAGTTTCTGCGCTTGCCTCCGCTTTTCAGCGTGGGCCCGGATATCAAGGGCTCTGGCAGAAGCGAGATAAAAGCGTCCCTAAAATGAACTCACACCCGCGGCCGAGGGTGCACAGAGCCTCGCGGCTTCCTCACGGCTGCGTGTGGTCAGAGCAGCACCGGAGGCTGCCTCAGCCGTGGGTGGACCTCGCGCAGTTCAGCTCCACGCAACCGCCCGTCTTGCAGCCCTC